TAAGAGCTCATTTAGACGAAACTTATCCTCGCCGATGGATTGGACGATGCGGGCCAATTACGTGGCCTGCTCGATCCCCAGACCTGAATCCATCCGATTTTTTCTACTGGGGCTGTGTTAAGGACAAAATTTATTCAAAATTAATTCAAAACGAAGAACATTTGCCGGAACAAATAAATGGAGCTACTGCTGAGATAGCCCAATTGAGTTTAAGATCTCTATAAGCGTATTTTCTGAAAAGGTGCCGAGCTTGTATTAGAGTAGAGGGTCGCTAATTTGAGCATATTTTATCAATAAATGAATACATTTTTCTGCAAACAACTCATGTATGTTTTATTTCACGTGAACCCATCCTTCACAAAAAATATTGATAGATATAGCTCTTGTTATTGACTCTAGTCCGAATCCCGGTAAGTAACATAAAATAATGTCAGGAGCATGTAATAATATACCATTGTACTATTTAGCATGTCATTGGTCAGTAATAAGAGCAACTCAAATCTAAATCTATTAAATAGATTCTAACGTGTCTCAGTCCTTTACCCACAAAAGCGGCTATAACTTTTTTTATACCCTAGCGCACTTGTGCACAAGGGTATATTAATTTTGTTCACATAACGGTTGTTTGTAACAGCCAAAACGAATCGAGATAGATATAGACAAATGTATACATAAATGCTCAGAATGAATAGAGAAGTGGATTAAGCCATGTCTGTCTGTCCGTCCGTCTGTCCGTCTGTCCGTCCGTCCGTGTACACGATAACTCGAGCAAAAATTGAGATATCTCAACGAAATTTGATATGTAGATTTCCGTTAATCCAAGGTAGGTTGTTATTGAAATTGGCCAAAATCAGACAGTAACCACGCACAATTCCCATATAACGGTAATTTCCAGAAATACGAAAACTGCGATATTTTAGTAACAACTGAAGATAATTCACACAAAATTGATATTTACATTAATTTTCCGACAAAAAAAAAGAATATTATAAACTTTTTGAAAATGGGCGTAGTCACGCCCACTTATGGTAACATGTGTATATCTTGGTAACCGCTGCACCAATTTCCTCCAAACTTGGCACAGTTATTGACCTTGATACAGCATACTAAATGGGTGAAAATTTAAAAAAATCGGACAATAACCACGCTCACATCCCATATAACGGTAATTTTCAGACATACGAAAACTGCGATATTTTAGTAACTACTGAAGATAATTCAGTCAAAATTGATATTTACAATAATTTTCACACGAAAAATAAGAATATTATAAATTTTTGAAAATGGGCGTAGCCACGCCCACTTATGGTTACATGTGTATATCTTGGTAACCGCTGCACCAATTTCTTCCAAACTTGGCACAGTACACTAAATGGCCGAAAATTTAAAAAATCGGACAATAACTACGCCCACATCCCATATAACGGTAATTTAGAGAAATACAAAATCTTCGATAAATCAGAAAATATTAAAGCTAATTTATTCAAAATTGATGCTTGCAACAATTCTTTACCAAGAAATACGTTTATGGTAAAATTTTGGGGATGTGGGCGTGGCACCGCCCACTTATGATCACATATATGTATATCGGTAACCGTTATACCAATTTGTACCAAACTCGGTATTTTTATTGTGCTTGCCACATAAAGGCAAAACGTTGAAAACTATTAAAATCGGACTAAAATTACGCCCGCTATTCATATAACTTCGAAATACTTCGAAATTTAAGGACGCTAATTTACTCAAAATTGATATACCCCGTCTTACCGTCTAGCGGTAGCTTTCGGAAAGGTGAAAAAACATATATTTAATACTTGCGCCGGGTATTTAATGTTCGGCTCCGCCCGAACTTAGACTTCCTTACTTGTTTTCTATTCGAAATAGTAAGAGTGGCACCTTTCTGAAATGTGTATTAAATGTGACATTTTTTTATGTAATGTAAAGTTATAGCTCAGTACATTTTTTTTCACCAGAGATAGTCAAAGTTGGGGAAGAAAATATCAAAAAGTTAAAAATCGCAAAATAGTCCTAATTTTATAATGGTTCCTTAATATATTTTAACTACATTGCATTTGAGTATGGAGAAGCAACTATCTGAAAGTATTCTACATAAAAAATTTCCTAAGTATAGCCTTGTTTGTAGATGCAGTTAAAGAAAATACAAGAAAAGGCACGATTTTTTCTTTAATTCATAAAAATTTAAATATTTCAAAAACTGTGACCCTTTTACCTGAAAGATTTTTGCTTATCAGGGAGCTCACCACCCCACCTGCCTTCTCCTCAAGTTTGGCAGGTTACTTCTGGGACACCCTGTATATAGATATATCAAACTTATTTGAAGGTGGACTTTGAAGTATTGGCTTCAATGCTAGGACGCGTGCGCGTAGACCGGCATTTTTGGCTGAACTGGCGTGTTGCTGATTTGGCACGATGATGGGAAGCGGCCGTGCGCGCTCGTTAATCATTCTTTCGGAGTTCACACCGCTGCGGCCAAAGGATGCGCGCAAGGCCGCTGAATTAAGTTTAAGCGGGGGCTTAAACACCCAGGTTAGCCCTACCTTTTTTTTCGTTAGCCCACCCTTAGTTCAAAAGTTATAACAAAAATAAATTTTGTCGTACTAAATATTAGAAATTATGAAATTCAATATTTTTATGCTCTCATTCGATTGCCCTAGGTTAGCCCAGTATATCCCAATTTTTTTTCGTTATCCCACCCTTAGTTCAGAACTTATAACAAAAACAAATTTTTTCGTACTAAATATTAAAATTTGTGTGTTTCAATATTTTTACTCTCATTTATTTTCCCGAGGTTAGCAGAGGTTAGGCCAATCTTTTTTTTGTTAGCCCACCATTAATTCAAAAGTTATAACAAAAACAAATATTTTTCATACCAAAAATTTAAACTTGTGAATTTCAATATTTTTACACTCTCATTTATTAGCCCAAGGTTAGCCCAATTTTTTTTCGTTAGCCCACCCTTAGTGCAGAAGTTATAACAAACACAAATTTTTTCGTACTAAATATTAAAATTTATGAATTTCAATATTTTTACGCTCTCATTCGTTTGCTTGAGGTTAGCCCAGGTTACCTCAACTTTTTTTTTCGTTAACCCACCCTTAGTTCAAAAGTTATAACAAAAACAAATTTTTTCGTACTAAAATTAAAATTTATGAATTTCAATATTGTTATGCTCTCATTCGATTGCCCAAGGTTAGCCCAATCTTTTTTTTCGTTAGCCCACCCTTAGTTCAGAAGTTATAACAAAAACAAATTTTTCGTACTAAATATTAAAATTTGTGTATTTCAATATTTTTACACTCTCATTCATTTGCCCAAGGTTAGCCCAGGTTAGAGCAACCTTTTTCTTTGTTAGCCCACCATTAATTCAAAAGTTATAACAAAAACAAATTTTTTCGTACTAAATATTAAAATTTATGAATTCCAATATTTTTATGCTCTCATTCGGTTGCCCAAGGTTAGCCCAGTATAGCTCTATCTTTTTTTCGTTAGCCCACCCTTAGTTCAGAAGTTATAACAAAAACAAATTCTATCGTACTAAATATTAAAATTTATGAATTTCAATATTTTTATGCTCTCTTTCGATTAGATAGCACAATCGTGAGCATACAACAAAACTGCATCTTGTGCCTGAGCAGCACAATTGTGATATCTGTTTTTTACACCATTCAAATAAATTGCAATTTTAAAAAATTTATCTTAAAAAAGTTAATCAATATATACATAGGCTCATTGTCAACTGTTGCCACTAGTTAAATGCAAAGTTTATTTAATAATAACTAATAAAAACACTCACCACGAGGACGCATGTCTTTGCCTGCTTAAAGACACATTCAAACTGAAGCTGTATTCCGTTATATCTCGTTGAAGTGTTCATTTCTTCTTTCATTTCAAACGAAAAAGAGTGCGCACAATCACTGCTTCCCGGTTAACACAAGAAAAATTTTTTGTTCATATAATTTAAGACAAATAAAAACAGATCTCACAATTGGTATGGCTAGGTCTGAAAGGGTTAAAGTCGATGTTTAAAACATTGGTAAAACTTCCATCGATGTATCGTCAATTTCGCGATGTTAAGTAAATTGTAAACATCGATGGCAAACATCGAAAATTGAACCGATATATCGATGTTTCAAAAACATCGATGCATCGTTTGCATCCCTACAAATAATTCAAATTAAAATATAATAAAATAAATAGTCAAATCTAGTCAATATGTGAGTGTCGTAAAGTTATGATATTTAAGAACATCTCTTTCTTAATTAACGATGGCACTGTTTCTATATGAAGCTGATTTCGACATTTTGCATTAATAAAATTTAATATCGAAAATATTCTTTCAAAACTTGCCTAGGAATTTGATATAATGGTTCGTTCAAAACCTTTTTTCAAAACTTATAAAGGCAAAAACGAGAAGGCGAAGACAAAAAGAGAATAAAAAAATTTCCCGCAGTGAATTTTCAGATTTTTAAAACGGTATAGTAATTTAATTTTTTAAATTTAAATAAAGCATGAAGACCCCATGGAATAAACGAGTAGATAAAAAATATATAACGGTAAAACTGGCACATACATAAATATATGAAGTAATGCACTCAGGCGACGTCTCTAGCCATTGTGTGTCACAGATTTAAGTTATCGATGGAAATTTTTTTTTTCATCCCCCTCAAAGCCAAATCCTGGCTACGCCACTGTTTCCAGTGGAAGCCTTTCGCACTCACCTCACTAAACACTTTATTTCCACTTAAAGGAAAGACTTGGTTTTCAATTTTTAAATTTACAAATTTCCACTCCGTTTATTCATAGGCTTTTAAAAGTTATAAAGTTTAGCTCAATCTATTTATTCGGCTTTCACAAAATAAAAAATATTTCCAATGGTCGCCTTTCGCACTCACCTTGCACACACACACTTTTTCCTATAAAAGGAAAGACTTTGTGTCAATTTTAAATGTATACACTTTGTATATTCTCAATTTATGCAGCTTAGTTCTTCATACTTTAAACTTCACGGTTAAGAGTATATCCATGTATGGGCATATACAATAAGGTTACTTATTAAAAATTAGCTTTCAATTTTGACACAATATGAAGTTCAAACGCGAGTGCGCGTTAACCGCTGGTAGTTGCTGAACTGTCTTCGGTGGTAATTTTTGCGAGGATGGTAGGCGGCCGTGCGCGATCGGTAATAATTCTCGGAGTCGCTTCGACTCCACTGCCGCCAAAGGATGCGCGCAGGGCCGCTGGATTAGGTTTAAGCGGCGGCTTAAACATCGCCCCACCCTGCAGGGATGTGTTCTTGAGCACTTATGCAGCTCTTTCAGGGCGCGAATGGTGTTGCGAAGGACGCGTTTGGTGGTGCGGCCCCGGTAATTGGCCGTTTGTAGGCCTTGGGGAGTGCGCACGATCGTCCGTTGGGCGGTATTATTGCGCGGCGGTTGCGGCGCCTGGTTGCGCGGGTTCTGCATCTTCTTTTGCGCCTTATTCTTCGCCGGTGCGCGCCGCTTGACGCTCCTTGAGGCCTTGTGGCCGGTTTTCGCTTCTTGGGCCCCTGTTCCCTTGGCCCCGTGCGCGCATGGGCGTTGGCGCATTCCTCGGTAGTGGGGTGAGCGCAAGGCAGTTGACGCAGTAACCCTGCGCGCGGGCTACTCCCACCCGTTGTGTCGGCTTCATAGCGCTTAAGGCCGGGGGCGTCCACAAGGCGTGGTACCGGTGGCAGAGCCGGCATTGTAGGCAGTTGTCTGCCCTCCATTGCAGCCAGGGGGCACGCCTTCCGTGCTGCCATTATGTATTCGATCTGGAAGTAAAAGCAAAGGCAGAGAAACGAGAAGTACTTGGGTACAATATTTAAACGGGAAGTTAAGACCCTTAATATACAGAAGGAACATATGTATAGAATTATTTATTGTGCTTTTGGAAGGAAGCACAGTTTGACAAGTGGCCACGTGATAACTCCATTTTGTGTACGGATGTCTACGACACGTATGTGGTTATCAGGGCAGTGGCGAACGTTTTCGATTCGTTCCAATCGGCACTCGGTGGGGGGAGCGAATCTTCTTTGATCCCGACGATGTCGCCTGGCTGAGGATCGCGTTGTTTCCACTTGTATCTCTTTGATCTTTGAGGTAATTTTCTTTCCAGCGGCGACTAAACTGGTGGTGAAGTGCTTTGACCTTCTCCCACCGGTTTAGTAGAGAGAGGTCTTCCTCATTAGGCTCGGGAATGGGCAATAGCGGTGCATCTCGGAGGAAGTGACCCGGAGTAAGTGCTGTCATATCAGCTGGGTTTTGAGAAAGTGCGGATAGAGGCCTCGAGTTGAGGACTGCTTCAATTCGCACCAGAAGCGTCGTGAATTCTTTGAAAGTATACTTGTGGGTTGTAGTGGTTTTCTTTAGATTGATTTTAAAGCTTTTCACTGCAGATTCCCACAAGCCGCCCATGTGGGGGCGCTGGGTGGTATATATTGCCAGTTGATGCCTTTAGGGGCATATTTTTTGACAATGTCTGCGGAGCATTCGTTAAGAAATTTAGCGCGATGGGCGGCAATGTTCATTCATTCAATGTTTTTCCATTGTCGCTCATCATTTTCGAGGGGAAGCCTCGTCTGCCAACAAAGCGGGCGAATGTTGCTCGAAAAGCCTCGGTTGTAAGATCCGAGCATAGCTCGAGATGCACTGCCTTTGTGAAAAAACAGACCAAAACTGCAACGTATCCCTTGATAAGGGTGGTAGATCTTATCAACGATGCTTTAATTTGGAATGGATCAGCAAAATCTACTCCAGTTGTAGAAAATAGGAGTGAGAAAGTGCAGCGCTCAGGGGGTAGAGCGGCCATTATTTTGGTTCGTGTTTGTTGCTTGTAAAGCGTGCACACTTTGCACTGAAAAATGCATTTTTTAATTAGGGGTTTTAGCTTTGGTACGTAGTACACTTGCGTTACCATTTGGAGCATTAATCGTGTTTCTGCGTGAAGAAGCAGCAATTGTAAAAACTCCAAATATAGCAGGCAGAAGCTCTATTCTGTAGGGAGAATTATTGGGTTCCTTTCATTATAGCTCAACGCGGAATATGCTAATCGGGCACTACCCCGTAGAAGTCCGTCTTTGTCCAAGGAAGGATTGAGAACAAGAAGAGGAGTTTTTTTGTTAATTGGCTTTTTATCTTGCAGAGCGCTTTTTTAGCTCGGAAAATGGCGCGATTGCACTGCGTTGATAATACGCATTTTTGCATGTTAGAATTCGTTATGTGTCAGATGTGGATTGGTGATTATAGGTAACCCCTTTGATTTGTTGCGGGCTCACGAAGCGGAACATGTACGCAGTCACGCCGAGTACTCTAGAGAAAGAAGAAAAGCAATTAAGAAGATCGACCTCTTCTTTGAGTGCGTGATATACCTCCACGTTGCGCTTTTCTGGTGGAAATGCACTGCATGCCTTTGATCTTGGCCATACATCCATGTGGTAAGAGAGCCATTTTGGTCCATGCCACCAGAGTGGGGAATCCTGCGGTTTGCAGTCACGGGTGCCGAGGTCGGCTGGATGGTCTTGGCTGGCAACATGGCGCCAGGTACCGGTCGGAAGATATTCCCGGATTTGGGAGGTACGATTGCATACATACGTCTTCCATGTAAATGGTGGCTTTTCAAGCGAAGCTAGCACAATCTCTGAATCTGACCATAAGAATGTGTTACACGATTCTAATTTGAGCTGTTTTCGAAGAGAAGCGACCAGTTTTGCGAGTAAGACTGCACCACACAGCTCCAGGCGTGGCAAGCTTACCGTTTTCAATCGTGCGACTTTGCTTTTTGCAACCAAGAGAGTGGAATATCTTTGGTTGCTACCATCTACGCGGATGTAAATCGCAGCGCAATATGCTTTTTCCGAGGCATCGCAAAACCCGTGTATTTGGGTATCTTGCCCCAGAGTGAAATTAACCCATCGAGGGATTTCGATGTAGCAGATGGCTGGCAGATTTTCTGCGAACAGTTGCCATTTTGCTAAGGCTATGGGTTTGGCACATTCGTCCCAATCCACGCCATCCAGCCAAAGTTCTTGAAGCAGAATCTTTGCTTGAATCATAACTGGCGACATCCATCCTGCCGGGTCAAAAAGTTTTGCGACAGAGGATAAAATTTGTCGCTTCGTGACGGCATTCGATGTCGATGCAGGCAGAATGGTGTAGGAAAATTTATCTGTCAGTGCGTTCCATTGTACACCAAGAGTTTTGGTTGTAGAAGCGCTCTCAAATTTCAAAAAGTTGGTGTCGAGAAGATCCTCCTTTGGAAACTTTTCTAAAATGGCCGGATGATTGGCCGTAAATTTCTTGAGTATGAAACCAGCTGACTTCAGCGCTTTGATCACTCGAACAAGTGATTCGGTGGCGTTGTCAATATCATGACTTCCGGATAGGATGTCTTCCACATACGTTTCGGTTTTAAGTATTGTGGCAGCCAGGGGAAACGTCCCTATCGTGTCATCTGCTAATTGATGCAGGGTACGAATAGCGAGGTATGGTGCACAATTAATGCCGAACGTTACGGTTTAAGATTATAATCGGTGACAGGAGAGTCAATGTCAGGAGAGAGAATGTTTGTCGTCCTCACGGACCAGTGTGCAATACGTCATTCAGGAATTTTCCTGAACCAGATGTTTTTGAGACGTTGAATACCACAAGAACTTTGGTGGTCACCTTATCTGGTTTGGCGACGCCATGATGTGGCAAGTAGAACGAGAAATATTTGCCATTAGCTATTATCCCGCATGGCTTCGTGTGCTCCATATAACCGAGGTCGAGATACTCTTGCAACACATTATGGTACATTGTGCCCAGGTCTCCTTTTTTCTGAAGCGATCGCTCCATACTGAAAAACTGCTGGAGTGCAGCAGACCGAGAGTGGCCTAGAGACAGTTTTTTTGGAAATTCCTCCTTGAATGGAATTCGCACAATGTATCGAACGTTTGGGACACGAGTCGTTGTTGTTGCATATTTATGCTCACATGCCTTATCTTCCGGTGAAATTTGTGGAGGTAGTGAAATCTCCTCCTCTTCCCAAAAGTCTCGAAGCTGAGAGCTGAGAGTTGTTTGCATTCGAGCACTATTCTACTTGTGTCGATAATGACACCATTACCGGTTATATTGTTTTTTGCGCAAGTATAGTGTCGCAAATCTTTTGTATAAGTTCCAGCAGGATTTGTGGGAGTATATCGCTGCCGATTACCATATCAGTTTGAGCTGGTATGTGATAGCCTGGGTCAGCAAGTTCAAGGATCTTGAATCGCTGCCAGTTTTCACGGCTAATGGTGAATGTAGGCATGTGCCTCGTGAGCTGTGGTAACACGATAGCCTGTGTGTTTATCCGTTGCATGGTTTTGGGTGCAACCAATGTTAGTGGACAAAGCTTTGACGAGCTTTGTACTACGTGTCCACCCATGCCGGAAATTTCGAACTTGGAATGTTCGAATGGTAGTTTCAACCGTTTCTGAACTTTCGAGGAAATGAAAGTTATTTGGGGGCCTTGATGAATCAGTGGCAGTTGGAAGGAGAATTTTGCTATCGCTGTCGGTATGCAATGATTGTATTTGTGCTTGTTTGGAACAGCACGGTTGCTCGCTGGAAATGGAGCTTAAATGCGCTTGTCGAGCGGGAGGTGTCGACTGGGCAGTGGTGTTGTGCGGTGGTTTCATTCGATCGCGCACTGGAGTGTCGAGATTGTGGTTTGGGATTAATGTGCAGCTGGTAGTGATGCCGTTGTTGGCAAAGTGTACGTGACCACTTGCTCGGACACTCATTAGTGCTATGAGTATTATCAAGGCAGTTTTTGCACAGCTTGGTTTGGTTTGCGAAGCGTACTCAGTTTGGTACCGAAATTCGCTTAAATTGTGGGCAGACTCTAATGGGATGAGGGGACTTGCAGTAAGAGCAAGGTGTTTCCCTCTTAGGTTCTGCCACAAATGTTTGAGTCCTGTTAAAGGACCTGTTTTGTGCAGCATTTTGATGAGCGACTGGTTTTTGTTTGTTTT